AAAGTGTCATCTTATGATTTAAAAAGATTGCTTTGCAAAAATCCCTTTCTGTTATAGTCTCTTTTAGGTTTGAAAATTGAAGTTACTTCTTAGGGTAGTGCCAGGAAAACATTTTTGTTATTGTTTTGTTTTGAGCCACCATTGTGCTTTGTCTTTTAAAAATTTTAATATGCATTTCAGCTCATTAAAATTAGGTTCAATTAGCATAGTAAAAGCTAATTTTGTTTTACATACACTGCCTGAAGCCTCATACAAACCTTTTCTTGAGATTCATTACTTGTATCCTTACTTTTAAGTAGATGGGACCTAATGTATTTCTTTTTATCAACTTTAGAAATGTTCACGAAAAGAGTTTTAGAGAAGATGTCTGATATACTGTAAATAAAGATGATCTTTAAAAACTACCACCAGTTAGAAAAATAAAGCTCAGAAATATTAATCGCCGGTAATAGAAGTCAGTGGCCAACCATGGCTCAGTGATCATACTGCTGTCAAAAATTTAAGTTGCGTGTCATTAATTGAGTGTAACAAAGCTGTATGGTCTCTGAAGTACTTTATTGAGTGTTGTGCAGAAATAGGATTGGACCTGACACTCAGAAGTGGTTGACTGAAGAGTTAAAAAAGGTTTTTTTCAACTTCACCTTGTTTTGCCCTCTAGTTTGAAATTTTATTGTGAAAAATGCAAAAATGGAAATCTATTGATAGTGAACTGGGAGTTGATTTATGTACCTTTAACAGTTATCAATATGAAGAAATGTATACTTCATTTTTAAATTAACCCTATAATTAGGATTGATTCCATTGAGTTTGTTAGAGTTTTTATGTATAGTTAGCTCTCGGTTTAGCAAGATGGTGAGGATGGGAGGAAAGTCAGCAATGAACAGAAATCCCAGTAAAAAGAAAAGTCAACTCTGATTATCAAAGGAAGGGAAGGAAATAATTTGGAAAAGAGATTCACTGTGGATAAATTCATCTTGTTGTAGGAATATACTCACTCTGAGAGGTTGGCTTAGCAATTATCCAGAGGTTAATTGTGGAAGATTGTTGCAATGCCCTCTCCCCACAGGAACCAAGCCTGTGGGGCATCAAACAGTCCAGATTTCTGCATTCTTCTCTTTGGCTGAGACCTGGTAATCAGACTGCTGATTACTGATCAAGTTCTGCCTAAAGTCCAAGAATGTTTCAGGCAAGGTCAAGTTGTCACAGATCCTTGGCTGTTTCTTACTCAGTTAAATCTACAAAATCCCTAGTCAGAGCCTGGCTGTGTTTCTCTATACCCAGAATTAACTTTATTTGCCATAACTAAAAGAGCAAGTTGAACCAAAACGCACAGATACAATTGAACTGAGCCTGAGGAAATTGTGGAAGTGGTGTCAGGCAGTGACAAGCTTTACATAAAAATATTTTCTTGTAGAGAACAGTATCTATTTACCAGATGTTATGGCTATGTTTTGTTTTATACTGATCTGATAAATGAAATTATTGGAAATCTACTTTTTATAAGAATTCAATCTGGGATTGATTCTTTGCTTTGCAGTTTCCAGACTTTCCCACAGATATTACCTTTGGAATCTTAAGCTTTTATAGGGAATTTCTAAAAAGGCTTCATGTCATTTATCTTATCTATACTTAATGTCACATGAATAATTGTTGAAGAACTTGGGTGTGTGTTTTGTTTTTTTTTTTAGTTTTTTTTTTTAAGTCGCAGAAAAGGAGTTTATTAGAAGAAAAAAATACATTTCAAAGAAACAGAAGTAGGCCTGAACAGTAGTAAAGAATGGATCAAGGGCCATTATTAGAAAAGAAAGTACACTCCAAAGAGTTTGGAGCGGGCCCCGAGCAGAGGCAAGGCTCAAAACGCTCAAAAACGGCCTTGGGTGTGTTTTTAGCTTGAAGTATAGACTAAAGGGAAACATAATAACTTTAAAAATATTGTTTATTTTTAAAATTTATTGGGGTAACATTGGTTAATAACATTATATAATTTTCAGGTTTGCAAGATTATAATTTGACATCTGTGCACTCGATTGTGTTTTCCCCACCCAAGGTCTAGTATCTGTTACCATGTATTTGACCTCCTTAACCCTTTTCACTCGTCATCCTTCCTCCACCCTCTTTCCCTTTTGGTAACCACCATCAGTTGTCTGTATCTATGAGTTAGTGTTTGTTTGTTTGTTACTTTTTGTTTCATATTCCACATGCGTGTAATCATATGGTTTTTGTCCTTTTCTCTGTAATTTCACTAAGCATAATATGCTCAAGATCCATCCATGTTGTCACAAATGGCAATATTTCATCTTTTTCATGGCTTGTATTGTAGCATTCCAGTGTGTGTGTGTGTGTGTGTGTGTGTGTGTGTGTGTGTGTGTATCTCACATCGTGTTTAACTTACAAAAAATATTTTAAAGGCATGGAGTAGAACGGTAGGAAAAGAAGCTATCATTCAGTGTGTGTTTACTGAGGTCCAGGCTCTAAGTGCTTTAATTTAATCCTCAAAGTAATTCTGTGAAGTGGGTATCACTATTAATTTTATAGATGAGGAAAATAAGGCACAGAGACCTAAAGTAACTTTGCCCAAGGTCACATAGCTAATAAATAAATGGCTGGGCCCTTACTGCTTCCCCAAACATTTAAATCACCTAGCAGCCCTTACGGGTAGTTATCAAAGAAACTGGCCTAATATTGATAGAGGTAAGATTCAATTTGAAAACCATTTTGTTGTGGGTGGCTGGTGAGGAGATGTTTTCTGCCAGTGTAGAACATATTTTCTAAAAAAAAAATGGCACTGGAAGTTTTATGAGATTGATGGTTGAGATAGCTTGAGAGGCAGCAGGATTTCTCTTAGTTGTGAAAAGAAAGGCTCTGGTCTTGGATGACCTGACATTTCTTTTCGAAAGCAGGAAGGGAAATGGGTTTCAGGCTGAGAAGAGTGGAGGAACTTTTATATTTATTACAGGAATTTAGTAGGAAAGTAATATATAGAAGGCTTGACTAAAAATGAATAGCATGAATCATGAATATATATTGGGGTGTCGGAAAAGTCATGACGTATTTTTTTTCTATGTTTTTCGTTTCAAAAATGCGTCATGACTTTTCTGACACCCCAATAGTGGAGTCACTCAGAAGAGCTCTAGACTTTTCTTCTGTAATGTCTTGCAGAAATGTGGGAAAGTAACATTGGAGAATCTATCTCAGGTGCTTTACATTTTTAAAATTAAATATCCTAACAACCTTGTTAAAAACATGGTGGTATTTCTGTTTTCTGTATCATGCTGGTACAGATGGTTAAAAGGGAAGATTCTAGAATTCTGAATTGCAAAAAATTACAAACTTGAAAAGTATTTGTACTGAATGATAAAAGGTAATTATCACTAATTATATATAATGAATAATTAGAAATCATAAAAAGTGTCCTATTGAAATGCTCAGAAGGTCAGAATAGCTATTTATGTTTACTGTTGTGTTTCCAGTAAATTGAGAAAATACATTCAATTTTGCTAGTGATCACAGAAGTGTAAATTATTTATTCTTTCTTTGAGGCAGTTTGGTAATGTGTCAACATTTAAAGTATGTTTATTGACCTCAGGAAAATAAAGGAATGCATATAGATTTATGTAAGCATATACAAAAAATTATTGTGGTGAAAATTGGGAACAACTCAGATGAACTTCCCCGAGTTTGTTCCCATGATTAGAAACAGATTATACTTCTTCAGTAGAAATATTATGGAACAGATAAGAGAAGAAAAGAATCTAATTGCATGGTGCACAATTTTGATTTGTTACAATACTGATGATGGCCACTTTCATCACTGCCAGGTCTCTATATTGTTAAGTTACTTTTTCCCCTTTTATAATTAATAAGTGTTTTGTGGGGAGGTTCTTTGAAATTATTTAAATATCTGGTTCCTTAGATTAATTTATCATATCAGTATGACCTATGGCTTCCTATTTTATTGGATGGATTGCAATCAGTTACTATCATTATTTTGATTCTCATATTGTTCCCAGTTTGGACAGTGGGAGTCCCTTCAAGCTAGCTTCTGTGACATATATCCTATCATTCCTTGGGTAATTCCTTGTTTTCTAATCAGCAAACCTAGATGTTTAGACTTACTTTGCACTTTTCTTCCACAAATCTTAAATCACCATTTGTCTTTTCATGGAAAGCAGTATCTAGAAATCAAGCTCTGGGCGTTAGGTGTTAGGGTCTTGCTGCTCCCACGTCCTCTCAGTGGACAGAGCTAAGGACTGTATACATAAGTATATATGTGAATGAGGGTATGTATTTTACATACACTATCACATATACCTATACTTAGTGAAACCATGAATTCACACAGGTACCCTGAATTGCAAACCGTTTTCCTCAGAGTTCCTTCTAGTTTTCTGTATTACTTAGAGGTCCTCCTCCCATAGTTTGGACTCTGCTGCCTTGCTACGGTCAGTGCACCCCTAACCTGCTGCAAATGCTTGCTTTCTTTGATCTGTTCCAGCTAACCACTTTCCAGTCTGGTAGTTCAACAAGGTTTGGGAGAGAGGGCCCTTTTGCTCTTTAAAGCACAGGGTTTTATTTGTAGTCATACTGGGAAAGTAACTGATTATACTTGTAACACAGGATTACAGATTTTCTGATACGCTCTAAGCTCTCCAACCTGACTGCATTTACTGCCACATTTGGAATCCTTTAGTAGTGAAACGAGGTGTAATGCAGTTAGTTTATTGTGGCTTAGACCTTCGGAACCAAGCTATAGTAGGGCTCTTAGTTCTTAGGTATACGTCTTGACCACAAGCAAATCATTATACTCAGACAACATGTTTGAATGATACAACTGTTTTTCCTCTAGTTTATGTAATCTTGAGGTTGTAGATTGACAAAATAAAGAATTCCAATAGTTACACAATTCTTCTTCTCTTAGTCTTTTACCAAATCTCAGTTTTGGCTGCGTTGATTGTATGTAAAACCAGAAAATTCCTGTAAATGGTTATTTTCTTTTATAGGTGGTAGATCATCTAATGCAAAATTGCCTTCGGTTCCAGCAGTTGGTTCAGTTCCACAAGACCAAGTTTCCAATATGAGGTATTTGAACTACTAACTTGGACATTTGTGATTTATTCCTTTAGATGACTCTTTTTTTAATTATATTTTTAATTTTTAAAATTATTATTAGTTTCAATCTTTAAACTGTTTACCTACAGTTTTTTAATTTTTTTTTTGTTTCTATTTTTAAAAACTTACATGACATTTAGAGGCATGGGAATATTTTAGGAGTTCCTTTTTAAAGGTAATAAGATGTAAAAGTTTCATGAGAAGTGGCTCTGTGATCAGTAAATGCTACATGTAATTAACATATTTAATTACACAGATTGTATCTTATGGCTTATGTTTCATGTGATTGTAACTGAAAGTTTAAAATTTGTTGTTTCTCTTCCACAAATAAAATGAAAGTTAAAGCCAGTCAACCAAAGCCACAGTGATACTAAATTATAGATAGGCTTTTATTGTCATTAATCTTGTTGAATTGGGAATATTCACTTCAAATTCTAATCTGGAATTCTGTGAATATTTTCCACTACAAGAGCCCTTGTGACCAGAATTCTTGATTCTTCTTACTGCAACTGGAAAATACACAGCACTCCACAGTTATGGGCCCTTAGGTGTTGCAAGTATAGGCTTGCAGTTGTGATATCATCCAGGCATATACAAGGCTCTATGAGATAACTGGGGAGGAATAGTATTAAGAGTACCTGGGAAGAGATGGTTATTGACAGCAGAAATTTCCAGCAGCTTACCAGTTGACAGCTTCAGTTGCATTTCTTACTGGAGAGTGAATAGGAGGTATTCCTTGTGTGAATAGTAGACATGTCGTGACTGTTTGTGTATATGTTTGGTTTATAAGTTAGAATCTAAAACTGCAGATACCTCTGAATTTCCTAAAATGCAAGGGACTTGTTTTTTTAATTTAATAAATATATATGTATATGTGTGTATATATGTGTTTATGTATATATGCATACTCTATGTATAAATATATACATATACTCACAAAGACACATTAATGTATAAATTGAAACATTATAAATGTGCCCAGTATACCATTTTCAAATGGAAAGTTTTTCAGATTGCATTAGAAAGAAATTGTCACGGAGATAGGCATCAGTGAAAAAGAACATAAACTGATTCTGTCAGTTAATAAATGTGTATTGAGTCTCTCTCTTCTGCAGCTGAGAATTTAGTAAGGAAGACTTAGTTAGTTCTTGAACTCAAGGTGCCAATGGTGTAGTGGTGAACAGACAAATCTGGTGAAGACTTGATCGAATTTGTTTAGGTTATAGGGGCTAACATCACGTGCTCTGAACTGGCTGGTTAAGACTTCCATTAAGAGCTGATGTTTGGATTGGCTGTTAAGCAGGTTGTTTGTCAGGGATGGTGGTGGCAATACAGAGCAGAATAAAAAATACTCCCTGCAGAAGGAATGAATGGTATGCATAGCAATAATGAGTTTTTGGGTAGTTTTTAATTTTTCACATAATTTTACATTTCTATGTAAAACTCATTTTAAAAACTAGAAAATTGATAAAATATAATGAATAGTTGAGGTAACTTAACACCTTTATATTAGTATTACAGAGAGGCTGGAACATGCTTTGGAAAAGGCAGCCCCTCTTCTGCGAGAGATTTTTGTGGATTTTGCACCTTTTCTCTCTCGGACACTTTTGGGTAGCCATGGACAAGAACTGCTTATAGAAGGAACAAGTAAGTTATTTTTCTTTATTTCATATTATATATTTAAATAAATATATATTTAAATTTCAAGGTTAAAAACTTAGATGAATATTAAGAGATGCATAGAGTTTTATTGTTTGTGTTTTCAACTTTTGACAAAACTTCTCATAAAATCTATGTTTTAAAGGATATGTCACGTCTCATATTCTAATCTGTTCATTTTTTATCAGTGATTTGGATGAGGCAGAAAATTATGTATTAAACTGAAAAACTAAGAGGTTGTTTTTCTTCTTTTTTTTTAACACATTAAAATTAACTATGAGAACAGAGAATTGGAGAGACCAGTGTTACAGTAATTAGTGGGGAATTTACCTTGAGTTTTACTTGAACTTAAGGTCCATATAAACAACAGTGAGTTATCACATATTAAGAAAACTGAGGAATGTGTCTCTATTAGTCAAATTCTTTTTATAAGCAAGTAGAAGTAACAGTAGCATTATACTCGATGCTGCTTACATCATACATATATTACTGGGTCTTTTCTAGGTAGTATACTTTAAGATTATGTCAAACTTGGTAGCATACAAAAGTAGATTGCTGAATGTATTGGAAACCATGCTATTTATGGAATGGTTGAGAAGTATTGGAACTTTTTTCTTTTTAAATTTTATGTATGGCACTTGCCATGTAGTATGTGTCTTGTTATTAAAGAAGGTAACTCAACCAAGGGAAAGTGACTTACCCTGAATTTCCTCATAATAAGTTCCATGGAGAACAAGTTTTCAAACAGTCCTGTTTTGGAGCTTAACAGACTGACTTTAGAATAACCGTCTTCATCCCTATACCAGAATTTTTTAAGGAGAAGCTAGAGGACTTTCATCAGTGATAAGGTAGAATTGGTTTTTGCATGCAAAGTGCCTGGACTAGATGTTTGCTAAATGTGGCTTGTCTGTGCCCATGGTTAATGGTTTAGGAAAAGACACTCGTATATTCGCCTAAAGCCGAAAAATCATGGAAAAGCACAATTAACTGTACTCCATGCTCTTTTATTATCAACTTACAGCTATAGTTACTACAATATTTTGTTGGATAATTCTCACTGGCTGATCTCCTAAGGAATTTCTTAAAACTTGTTTTGCCCTCTTTTGGAAGAAATAAAGATATTATAGAAATGCAAGGTATAGGTAGGTTAATAGTTTGTCAGTATCTGACTGTTAACTATGGGATATCAGTACTTTATTTGACCCTTGAAATATCTGTCTGTTTATAAGTAATAAGCTTTAGCTAAAGTAGGAATTTCATTCCCATCTCTGGTGTAGATATATATAGAGTTGGTGATGATTGATCTCATTTCCACATAGTAAAAGTAACATTGAATTTATTTCAAAAAGAAAGCACAGGTTTTAGAAATACTTAATTAGGTTTGGGCTGAAAATTTATTTTATCTGCCGAAGGATATAATTTATTCAGCCATGGACGGTTTGATATAATGAAGTAATAAAATTTGAAATGAATTGAATTGAAAAATCAAAGTACTTTTTAAAATTTATACTTCACATATCAAACATTTTTTAAAGTGATCTGACACCTTATCTATATTTTATTTCATTACTGTGAAATGAACATATTAATTATAGCTTCTTGATGTAGCAAGACATTGTTGCTTTTTAGTTTGTCTTTGAATTTTATAATAGACCCAACAAAAATAGGATCAGCTTAGATTCTCAGAAGTATTAAACTTGGCAATTCTAGATCCCTTAACAAAATTTTAGTCAAGTTTTTTACTAGTAAATTCTGATAAAATGTTAAAATGATGCACTATGGCTCAACTTTAAACTCGAGCAGTGCTTACTCATTGTACTGTGTTCATAAAAATAGCAAATAAATCTAAGAGTTTTTAATGTATATAATGTATGTATTTTAAGTTGTGAGTAATTTTTTGGGTGGTGCCTTTATGCACTGTAAAATATAATAAAAGTTTTGAGTGGAGGTGATCCTAGCATCAGTACTGTACAAAAAGCACTGAACTGAAAGGCAAGAGGCCTTGGATTTATCAGTAATGCTGCCCTTGACAGTGACTAACTGTGTGACCAGGCACTGGAAAAGTTACTACTTTTATATTTTATTTTTTATTAAAAATTGTTGAATGAGTATCTTAAATAGTTACAAAGTAGAAAATACAACATCACTGGACTTATTATCAACTACCCTTATCATCTTTGTTTTGCCATAATTGTTTGTTATTATATTCACCTCCCTTTATTTTGCTTTATTATTTAAAACAACTTCACATGTCATGTTGATTCACGCCTAAATAATTCATAATTCATGTAAAGGTATTTTCTTACATAATCATAATTGTCCCTATTACAACTAATAATAATGATAGTTCTATAATGTCATCTAATACTTAGTCATATTCATCTTTATTTAAAAGTGTTGTTTTATAATTTATTTTTTTGTAATTAAGATCCAAACAAAATCAGTTTATTGCATTTGGTTATGTCTCTTAAGTCCTTATTGTCAAATAGTTTCCCCTATTTCCTCTCTATTATCACACTATTGATCTATTGAAAAGATCTGGTTGGTTCTGTAGAATGTTACATATTTTGTCACTCTGTTACTATTGCTTCTTGGTGATGTAATTGATGGTTTCTCTATCCCTTGAATTTTCTGATGACTTGAAGTTAGATTTAAAAGTTTAATTGGACATAACACTTCATTTTAAATCATGCCTAGAGTCATATTTTCTGATTGTCTCATTTTTAGTGGATATTAACCCTCATTTCAAGTTGTTATAACCCTTTTATAAGATGGATATGATGGTTACAGATTCATGGGAACAGTTAGTTGTTTCCAAAAGATATTTGCTCATTGAGAATATTTACAAATACCTTCAAAGCCAGGAAAATATGGAATAGGAATTTAAGTTTATTATACTTGAAATCTTATTTAAACTTTGAATAATGTTTATCACCATCCCTTTATCTTTCTGTAAATTATTTTAGATGATTAAAAAAAATATATATATATATACATATTTTAAAAAATTATTATATTCAGATGGTAAATGGTCATGATGTTTTCCTTGGTATACTTGATAGTTTGTATAGATCATTGAGTTCACATGGTGCTAGGATAATATCTGGTAAGTCATTTAATAGTTCCAATTTTAGTAGTAAGGGAAAACAATGGTAATAGAGTCGGGATAAATAGCATCTGGTGAAGAAATTGCAGTGGTCTTTGGTGAAGAAACTCCAGCGAGTACGAACTTTTTGGCTTTGGTATCATGGGTTTATCTTTTTTGAAGAGACTGTAATTCCCTATTTTTGAAAAACTAACCAAAGATTAAACCAAACGGAACCCAGCTGTTAACACTGGGAGGCTTTCAGGGAGGTCAGATTATGGGCCTATCAGATCCCTAAGCCTATAGTACCTTGTTTGCTTTCTGCTGATTGGGGCAATAATAAGTGGGGTGTGTGTGTGTGTGTGTGTGTGTGTGTGTGTGTGTGTGTGTGTGTGTGTAAAAAATGAAAATGGATAACTCTGCAACAGCTTACAACCTTACTCCAAGTGTTTTACGGCCTTCCTTTGGATAATTCTTAGTCTTACTATAAATCTGAAGACGGATTTACTGGTTTATAATTTATTTCTTGCTTTTTCATACTTACAAGCAATGTCACCCAAAGGCAAAAATTTAGGTAAAAAGTAGAGATGTGATTAAGTCGTGCAATATGATATCAAGTCCCTTATTGGGATTATCTCCTGTTTATATATTCCCAAGGTAATATATTTGTCTTTATAGCATCAATGCCATTTAGACATGGAGCTTAATATAAGAGGGATAATATATCTTTTGTCCTCTGAAGTTCTTTCTCATTTGAAATTTCACATACCATCCACCTGGCCTCACGTCCCATCCTTTACGAATCTACAAAATCCTACTCCAGAAATACATAAGTTGTTCTAATCAAACTATCAAATGTTATTTGACATTTTACTATCATTGAATGCTCAACTGATTGATCAGTGAATATATTTTTCTGCATCTTCACATCCAGTTAGATATGTTGGTTTCTTCCAGCTTGCTAACCTTTATTATTGAGGAATAAGACAAATATATACTTTTTTTTAAGTATATAAATATTGAACTGTCCTATGAAATGTCGTAAAGAGGACAAAACAGCACTTGTAAATCTTCCTAACTTTGGATGGCCCAAGGCCCTTTTTCTATTAGTGTTCACTATCTGAGTGGATAAAAAAGGCTGAACCAGACTAGGGCCCACATGCTTTGCCATAAAAGGAAAGTTGGTAGGAATTCTGGTTCCTCTAGAATAGAGCAGTGAGGAATAATGGCTAGTTGTAGAAAGATCTGATTTTACTCATTAGAAGTAGTGGCTTTTGAAGTTGAAGTATATGAAACTTCCTGTAGTTGGGTTCCATTTTATGGAAAGTGACAAGGTTTTAGACCAGCAGAGGGCTACACCAGCAATGAGAGATGGAGTATTGCTATGCCTTTTCTTTCAGCCTTGGCATTGGCCTGAGGAGCTATATACATTTTAGCTCTACAGAAACCATATTTTATTCTAGTTAATGACCTGCTTGCTTTATGAAACTGGTAGATGGTCTATACCTTTTTTTTCATGTCAGTGCTGACACTATTACCATCATTTTTATATTGTATGTGATTTCAGACATTAAGAAAAATGGTTCTAAGTTTTCTAAAAAATGAAGGGGATGAACAACCTGTCTAACTCACTTGAATGCTATTTGTAAGGCTACAGAACACCAACATGTGCCATCAGTAGGTATGAGGCATCATGGCTAAGCAGGGAAAGAAGAAAGAACTATAGAGCAAGAAGATGAAAGAAAAGGAGTAAGACGGGATAGGATGCTTGCAAGGGCTTAAGTGGGAGAAAGAAAGAAGGTAATTCTGTAGCGTGTATAGGACCACTGGGAATTATTTTAGTTCTTACATCCTGGAACCTACACTTGTGTTTGCTGAGAAAAATATAGGTTAAAAATAAATTTCTGATTATTAGTAATAGAATTTAGTAATTTGGTGCTTTTAATTGTTGGCATTGCTTTTTTTAAGATACTGGTTATAAAATGTTCTTTGAACTGCTTTAGGCTTTATTGGTAATCAAAACTAAAGAATTCTTGAGATAACTATAAGAGTTCCTACTTGAGATATTTTTGAGAACCCAAATGAAACATAAAAGAGAAAAATGTAAATGAATTTATAAGAAATCAAGAATATATAACAGACAACGGCTTGCACTTCTGTTAAGGTTTAGTGTGAGGTCATAGGTCAAGGTACTAATAAGAGTGTTTGGGATGTCTGCTGCCATGAAACAAAATGGAAACTTGATTGATAGCTAGAGGGTTGAAGGGAGAGAGTGTGGTGGAGAAAGCAAAGGTCAGGGAGCCATTTCCCTTCTCTGCATGTGTAACAATCAACTCTCTCCAAAACAAAATGTAGATGATATTGGTCAATATGGCATATGTTGTGCACATTTCTATAAATATTGTGAAATGTCATTATATATGAAGTTGTAATAAATGTTTTAGTAGTTTCAAAGCTGAAATGAAACAATTTACAAAAAAACTGGTAGTTTTGATGCCAAGTTTAAAGGAATTACAGAGTACCTTATTTACTCATATCATCAAATGTGTGCAGCTTTGGTTCTTATCAAGATGTTAAATTTTAATTTAAAAACGAGTTTGGACAAAATTGTGTAACAAATCCCTCATATTTGTTTTTTACTTTGTAATTGTTGTTTTTAATTCTCTTTAAAATAGGTCTGGTTTGCATGAAGTCTAGTAGTTCAGTTGTGGAGTTGGTTATGCTACTGTGTTCACAGGTGAGTGACAATATATACTGAATTAAAAGTGAATTCTCACATGAATTAATTTTGCAAGTAAGTTATAATTGTTTTATTAGAACTTTTTGCTATGATAGAATTTTGAGTTGACGGCTTTAAAATAGTTTTATTTGTATTGCAAAAGGATTAGTTCTTGTCTTGGGTACTAGCTGACAATTTTGAAGTTAGTGCTGAGATAAATTGAATAGGTGAACTGGAAACAGAGGTTTTTAGAATCCCATTAAAAATGTCCAGATCAAATGATCTTGAGATGGCTAAATTTCTTTCCTGCGTGTATTAAGGTTATAGAAACAGATTTATTTCTATACCTTGTGGAGTGCCACTCTTTGACTCCCCTGGGAATGATGGTTTTACTTCCCTTTTGTGCCGAGGTTATAAAATGAGTGATAAATAATTTTGAATTCTTGTCATTGCTAATTATTTCTGACATACAGAGTAGATTTGGGAAAACATCAACAAAAATATGGCAGCCATCAGAATAAGATGTAGTAAATAAATTCCTAGAAGCAAAATTACTTTCAATGATCAGAAACCTTATACATCATGTGGTAAACTTTAATGATTTTTACAAAACTTATGTAAAAATCATGTATCCTGTGGTGTTTTCTTTTCTATTTTATAATTAAATAGATGAATGTTTTTATTGTGAGTTTTCTTTGTAGTCTTTTAAAAGTGGTATCTTGCTGGTAGTAAATTCCCCTACTTAAAACTTTAAAATAGCCTTTTTTAATAGGAAGGGTATTGGTCTAGAGGTCAAGGGTTCTGACCCATTTCAAAACCTTTGACCTTCATTTACAACTCTTTTGGTTTACTTGCCTGACGAATAAGGATAATGCAAAATTAATGTTTCTTTGCATCGATTTATTCATTTTAGTGCCTATATTGCCAAATTTATTTAGACTGTGCTGATGGACATTTCATGAATACAAATTAAAGAATCATAGAAGGTGTGAAAAATCAATACTATGTATTGTCAATAAAATGCAATAAGAACAATTACTCCTAGAGATTACACCTAATGGATTTTTGTAATGAACTTGTGCAGAGTAGTTATGTTTCTAGTGGGCTTATGATTCTCAGATCCGGTGAGAATCGGGTTTTTATAATTTAATCATCCTTTTAAAAGAAAACTCCATTTCTTTAAAAGCTGACTGAATAAAATTTCCATTAAGTAATCTGATTTGAAATAATTACATGTTTATGTTTTAGATGGAAATGACCATATGCCATTCTTATGCTGATATGAAATTACCCTTTTAAGAAGCAGTTGCTTACAGTTTTGGATGTTTCTTCACAGTAGTATGAGTTTGCTGTTTGTGGTGATAAAATTGTTTTATAGGTGAATTTTGATAATGAAATTTTACTTTCTATTGTAGAAGAATTGAATATATTCTTGATACAGGGAAACTATTTCAGATCTAGTATATTAATTACATAGTTGAAAGTAGAAGCTGAAAAGATAAAGAATGACATGTTTTAATACACCTATTTGTCATGTATGTCACAGTGCTGTTTAATATTAATCCAATCAAATGAGATATGAAGCTCTCTTAGTAGAGTAAGTTGCAAAAGTCAGATATTCTCAAGGTTTTTGTTTTAATAAAATACATTATTGGTTATTCGAAGTTCTTCACATTTTTTATGAGTTCTTCAAAAGTTCCCTGGCATCTCTAAGATGTAGCACAGTGTGAAAAATGATGTGAAAAATGAAGCCAGAATTAGCTCCAGATGTATACAGATTGTTCCGGGGTGATAATTACATTTTTCACTTTGAATTTTCCTAATTTAAAGAGGTCAGATTGGCAATCACAAAAGTGATTTATTTTGTTACGAAGTGAACTATCTTTTTCTACATGAAAGCTTAAGAGAGATGAAATTGAATTTGAAGTCGACATTTTGCAGATACTGGGTGGGGATGACTTGAGTTTGATTGATAATTTTTTTTAGTCTGAGATAGGGTGGGAAGTGAAAAGCTAGCATCTTGCTAAAATTTTAATTAATTTTTTAAGAGGAGATGGAGAGGATTGAGTGCCAAAGATCGAAAGATCAGGTCAAAAACTCTTTTTTAATCACATAAATAATGGGATATGCTTATGAACTTAACATCTGCAAATTTGATTTAAAACTTTACAAATTAGTTGGTGTTTATTTCATGACAATCAGCCATGTTCTGATTATTTTTCTCAAATCCATTCAAAACTTTTCTTTTGAATTCTTTGTAACAAGGCGTTTAAATTATCAACGTTTTATTACAAAAGAGAACGTAGAGCCTAAATTTAAAAAATGAGGAAATGATCACATTGGTTTGCTGTCATTAAGACCAAACAGATCACTATATATTTTCTTAACGCTTCAACTAGGATTATATTTTTCAGTATCTACTCAATCATGAATAGATTGACTGGATACCATTTCATAGTTTATCCTATTGAAATTTTAACACTATTAAAGCAAAATGTTATTTAGAGTTGAAAACCTTTCTTAAAATACTCAACATTATGTTTTTGAGTAAAGATATATATATATACTTAAGGTTTATTCATATATTGAATCCCATATAAAATAACTCAAGAGCTACTTAAGCTCCAAAACATGATTTAAAATCTTCTTTACTTCTTTAATATAAGAATATATATTCTTCAGGAAAATGTACATTCATGCTCTGGTGCATGGAAAAAAATTGAACAGGTTCTTAGTTATATTTCAGATTCAGTTTTTCATGAGCTTGTAACTTATTTGTGTTCAGTATTTGTTGTGTATAAGCCTAATAGAAATTACATGCATTTAAAGAAAATGTTAAATAGTTCAAGTACTATTCCGCTAACGTTGTGTAAAGTGTTTGTATCTTCCTCATTTGACATTAATATCATTTTTGAAAGAATTGACATTGCATTCAAGGCCACTTTATAAAAGCGTTGCGTTGCTCATCCTAATTCAGTCTGACATACATTCCAATAACACTACCTCCCTTCTTGGGTTTAAAGCTAAATTTATGACTGTGCATTGTGAAGTGCATCATTTAAAAATGGTTTCAACCCAAAACATCTAATAAATAAATAATGTGTATGGCTACTCAGTAGTAGACTTTCTAGACTAGAAATCATTCCATCGGATACTCAACAGTCCACTATCGGAGAGGGCTGTCAGATAAATCTTAGGGTAGCTGCATTCATGTCCTGTAAATCACATATTATTGTCTGAGCCTTCTGCCAGGTCATCTATTCTTTTCCCATTTATCAGAAATGCATAGAGTATATAGAAAAACTAGAAGTACCATGTAGTCTGTCCTGGCATCCTGTCTGAGTAATTAATTAGCAGCAAAAGTTAATTTAAAATACTGTGCTAGTCTCATTTTCCTTTAAGAAATGTTTCATCAAAATAGGAAGATTGTTGCTATTTTGGGAAATATTTCCTTTACATGAAGGTAATAATATAACGTTGCTTCACATGAAGGTAATATGAGATTTGGTCATTTTTGATACAAATGTTTCTTTCTATACCTCTGAATTATTAATCTAAAAATTATAATATTCCTAACAAGAATCAGATATCACCATTCTTATGATTCCTTTATGTTAGTTTTGTGTTCGAATTTTTGCCACTTGAATTTTTTCTGAATCACTGGAAGTTTGTTCTGAATCTTTGTAGATGTTCTCTTTCTTCACTGTCCTGTAATTTCTCTAAATCCGGTTTTCTTTTCTTTTTTGAGATTATCCCTTCTAAATGTGTGACATTAATGTTATTGCCCTTGCCTTGTCATTTCATGAACTTTTTCTTTTTACAGTTGTGCTGAGTACTTTGAGTAAAGTAGACAATTTAAACAATCCGGGGGGTAGGGGCGGGAAGCACACCAGCTCTGTACCTTGGCACAAAGGTGTCTTTCATTATTAGGCTCCTCTTACTATTTGGACCTCATTTCTTATCAAGTTGTTTTTATATCTGTTCTCAAATTATGTTGAGCTATTTAAAGTTACCCAAATGTGCCATCATGTTTTTGTGTGTTGGTATATGCTTTGACTTCCCCTGAAACCTCCCTCATTCGCATTTGCTGACTCTTCTCATCATTCAGAGCTCAGTTTAATTATTCTCTTCTCAGATTATCATATCCATAGTTGGTATCTTTTCGCTTGTCTTCATCTTAGTACTCATCATAGAATATACCACAACTTTTAAGTATACATGTGCTAGTTTATTTTTTTATTGTCAATCTTCCTCTTTGAACTCTAGACCCTATGAAGGTAACAGCTATTTCGGTTTTGCCTATTAAGGTATATCTAGTACTCAGCACAGTCCTGGCACATGATGGCTGTCCAATGAATATTCATGGAATAAATTAATAATTCAGTTCCCAACTAAATTGCAATCTCTTCTGGAAAGGTTCTTTGACTCTTCTCTTTCCCACAATGTTAAGCCTAAGAGGTATTAATTCAGAGTACTCACTGACCCATATTACAGTAATTTCATTCTTTATTTAAATTGTCTATGACTTTTACTTCTCTCTAATAAGACTAACTTTTCTTTAATGCAAGCACTGTGTTTTGTTTTCTGTTGTATCTCCAACATCCAGCATAATTACTATTCAACCAAATATTTATATACTTGTATAGTTATAATATATATGGTACTGTTGGTCATAAATCACCATATTTTGCGTTTTTGCCTTTTGGTCTTTTTCACTATGAAAAACCACCATACTTTTTGTGTATTTTTAAGTATTAAGTGTCTGTTTGTATTAAGTCAGCTGTTTTGTCGTTACCAAATACCACGGTCATATTCATTTATTAGTAAGATCTTAGATTTTTTATTTTCCTTTGGCTTAGTCAGATTTGCCTCTTAAAAAATCAAGCTTTGTTGCAGCATAATTTACATACAACATATGCATACATGTTAAGTGTACAGTTTGGTGAATTTTAACATATTTAACCATGTAACTATGGTTACATGTAATAACCATATAATAGCCGTTTCAATCCAGAAAG